TAGTACAACTGACAGCCGCCATACAAAACGCAGGGAGAGCTGCAGAGCTCGTGTTGGCTTCGCTGTGCATTTGCGCCAAGTGGAGCGGGAGGGTGCGTGGAGGAGCAGCAGGTACCAGCGGAGCAGAGAACAGACCTGCACACTTGCAGGATCCACAGGCAGGCACTTCTCTCTTCTTCCCCTCTCCTCCCATAAAATTAGGAAAGAGACATGTTTTAATGACAGTTTGCTGAAATGTGCACTCCCTGCTGATTTGACATTGGGCAGAAAAAGTGTCTACAGAATCAATTTTTAATAAATGTAAACAACTAAATTATGAATGACAAAAATATCACTGAACAGTTAAATATTAATCACATAATTACTTAAATTAATATTTCTAGTGCAGTGTTGTGATAGAGAGTTTTACTTACGCGGTGTTGCTGTTCTGGCTGGGCAGGCACGTGGAGGCCGGGGACAGGACAGCAGTGGCCTCCCCGGCAGTGGGGCTCAGGAGCAGAGGGCTTGCCACAGCCCCTGTTGTCCCACAGGTCCCACAATACTGGGTGCTTCTCTTAAAGCCTCTGGAACCAGATTAATTAGGAATGAACTTCCATTTTCTGTTCAGAAAGAGAGCTGTCAAGAAAATGGCTAAAATGGCCCCAAACTAGAAAGCAACCTGCCACCCCCTGCCAAAAAAACTCCCTTCCTGTCCTAAAGTGCCATTAAACTCGCCGACAGCAGTGTGTCGTGCAGAGCCAGGGCTGTGCTCAGTGATGATCTTGGGAAGACCCCGGGGGTGCTCCAGAGGGGCCTGGAGGTGCAAAAAGCCCTGGCTGCTTCTAAGATGAGTTGGGTGAGTTTATGAAGGAGATGGTGTGCCATGAGTTCTGCTGCGGGGGCTGGAGTCGCTGCCCTGCGGGCCCCCTCTGTGCTCTCATCTCGACAGGCGCTGCAGGGAGCTTGCGTGGTGGAAAATTGGTCGCCAGCATTCCGGGGGGGTGTGGGTAGCAGCAGCCGTCTGTAGGTCCTTGCACGCAGCACGCGGCTTCCTCCCCTGCCCAAGAAACTAAGAAAAGAATTTACTGGCACTCTTGTCCTTGTGGGTTGGCTGGCTGCGTTGTTTGTTTTTAATCTAATAAAAGGGGATCTTAATATCATAGTAAAATTGGTACAAAGCTAGAAACTCGCCCCTTGGCGTTTTGGCGAAACATTATTGAAAATGTAAAAGCCTTTAGCAGAAACAACAGAAGCACAAAGAAATTGTAGAAATAGGATCAACAGGTTGTGTTCTGTATGTTGGGAGGAGCGGGGAAGAGCATCCAGCCGGGGCTCGAGGTGCCGGCAAGACCCGCTGAGCCGGAGGCTGGATGCCAGCCCCGCTGTGGCTCTGCTCCGCAGGGACGTGATGCGGCGGGGGCTGGGAGGAGGGGTCCTGCGAGGGTCGGGGTGGGCAGCACTGCGGGGCCGTGGCTGGGCGGTAGGGAAGAGCACGTTGCTGGGCAGGCAGGAGCAGCTGAGGAAGAGGAACGGACAGCTGGGAAGAGCTGTGCTCTGGGAAGGTGGTGTGAGCGTAGCGGGACCCGGCCAGGAAGCGGGAGGCAATGGAAAAGCGAGCTTGCCATCCTTAGGCTTGCAGCTACTTGGATTGGTCCTGGCTCAGTTTGTTCCCTGTCTGGAAATTAAACCTCGGACAGAAATTTTAAGAGTGTTTCCAAACTAGAAAGTGAAGCATCTCTTGCAAAAGGTGGGAATGCTGAAGAAGCACTCGTTGCTCAGACTCACCCATCGCTGTAGGATCCAAGTGCAGCTCTTTCTGCTTCATCTGTTTTCCTGTGTCTCCCACCTCTTCACAAACATCACTGGAAGTACCATTCCGTGTGCCATAAGCAAGTGCCTCGTCAAAATGCCATTACCCAGTTTGTCCACCAGTACTGTACTGAGCACCATGACCGCTCATAAAAACAACCATTTTTGGGGTGACCTCTGCCCAATCTGAGAGCTGCAGCCACTCGCCACAACTTTAACTCACATCATATGGTGGGGCACTGAAGTGAGCAGCTTCCTGAGGCCACCAGCCAGACTGGTACCTCATTTACGATTGAACACCAGCACGTTTGCTCAGTGCAAAACCATTCTCATCCCCTTGCACTCGCTGACTTGCCGGCTCTCTGACAGCCTGCACCCATTTTGTTTCCATGCTTCTGCACGTGGCATTTTGTCGTGGCTGCCCAAGACCCATCCACTGAATGCACTGGGTCCCAGTGGGGCTTGTGGAGCTGCCCCTGGTCACTGTGCCCTTTTCCATGGCTTCCCATGGGGTGAGTAACCCTGTCAGGAGAACTGTCCTTTTGAAGCTGCCATTTGAGTTCGCTTTGTGCTCTCACAGCGTTGCATTTTCTGATGGACTTTCTACAGGTACAGTTTATACTGGCAAGAAGGGAGAAGCAGGAGTGCTTTCCACATGTGGTGTTACAACATGCTGCAGTGAAGTTGATTCTTGGAACATAGCAGCCCCCTAAAACGTCAAATAAATCCTTAAACTATTCATCACTCTGTTTTTGGGGTGGCAGTTAAGTCTTTCAACACTCTGCAAGTTTCTTTCCCCAGCAGTAATTTCGCTGGTGAAGAAATACAGCTCAGGGCACACTCCACAAAGGCCTCAAAATTCATGTTTTGTTTTCATTACCAAAAAAATGCTTCACTACATTAAAGAGTGGCCCATTAAAATTTTGTACCCTGTCTTCCCTGCGCCCTGTCGTTGTTGGCAAATCCTTCCCATACGCGTGGCAGAGCCGAACAGCAGCCGTCGCCTTGCTTTTGCAGACTTCACAGAGAAAGGGCAGCAAAGGGGAGGAGGTTTAAGCCACAGCCCAGCTTGTTTAGGTGTAAGATCTCAAAACTTTCAGTAGCCATGCAAATTTACTCAGTAAATGTACCGTACTGAACCTTAAGCTGCTCTATCAGTGTTTCCTCTGCTTTCAGTCACTGGCAGAGCACACTGGCTCGTGTACATGTCTAAGGAAATAAATTAACTGTCTGGTTCCTGAAATAAAACTTAACTCTGTACAAAGCAATATATTTAACTGTCTCAGGCAAACAGCCCTAAAATAACAACAAAAAGGAAAATAAAGCATTACTGGAGGCTTACGAAATCTTGGGATTATATAAATTAAATGTTTCAGTGTGAACTGGATGGTGTTCTCTGATACCGTTGAAAAGGTAGAGGTTAAAGAAAAACAGTAAACGTATTATAATTAGGGTTTAAGGGAGCATTTGGTTATTCTCATAAGTAACTCAGACTACCTGAATGCTGACACGGACATGAGAGCAGGCAGTAAAACCTGGAGCTTGCTTAAGAGGCAGGAGGGTTTTTAGCTGAATTCAGTGGGGACTTGCTAAGTCCAGTTTTATTTAATATCTCCACAGTTAATTTAGAAGTAAGTGGCACGTTAATTAAATTTGCAGCTAAATTAGCAAGTTAGGAGATCAGACCGAGGTGCAGCTATGGAGAGCAAATCTCACTGTGTTGCATGAACCCACAACCCGAAGCGAGTGGCGCGGGGCGCAGCTGGCGGCACCGGCACCGCGGGCGGCGGCGGGGGAGCAAACCTGCCCCGTCCCATCGCCGGGTGGGCGCGCGCCTTCCCCGGGCGGGCTGCGCTCTCGCCTCTGCTCCCCTCGCTGCCGGGCCGGAGAGCTTGGGCTGGGTGGTGATGCTGGAAGGAGGGAGGCGGCGAGGCTGCAGCAGTGCTGGCCATTGCCTGTGGCGGGGTTTGGTGAGCTCGTTATCCCTGGCAGGGGAAAGCCCTGCCCTGGTCTCAGCGAGGGGTGTGAGGGGATTGCGCGGCTGAGTCGAAGGGATGGCTTGACAGTGAAATCCAGCAGGCTGCGGGATAGTCTCTCTGGGAAATGGAGTCCTCCTCACTGGCAGGGTTATTTAAGACTCGACTTTGAAACATGAGACATTCTGCAGTTGGGAACAATGCTGCACTGTCAGAGAGATGGACTCAATTACTTAATAGGTCGTTGCTGTCTGTCTCCTGCGATTTTCCTTTCAAGAACATATATTCAGCTGGGTTATTTCTCATGGGAAGACAAAGCGTTCTGAGAGAAGCCAGGCATTTGGAGGGGAGAGGTGGGAGGAACAGCAGCCAGGCAGATGCCCGGTTTGTTTTCTGCAGAGCATGCTTCTCAGGACGTGAAGAAAGCTGGAGTGATGTAGCTGATGTGGTATTTTGGTCCTGTAACCAGCTGATCCCCCAGTCTGATAGGTCTCACGTCCTCTTCTTTGCTCACGGAAGATTTGCCATGTTGCTTGCTTCTGCCAGACTCTGATCCCCAGGACTGCTGGTGGCGGGACTGTGGTCCCACAGCCAGCGCTGCAGATGCTGCCATGGGTTGCTGGTTTGCCAAAGCATTCAGCGTTGGATGGCCACTTATCCAGCACTGACAGGTCCGTACGGCTCATCTCGGTGTATGGGCAGCCTCTCCTCTAGCATGGAAAGGCTTTAATGGTGTTTGGTCAAAATGACAGCCAAGCTGGAGGAAAAACTCATGGCCAGGAACCCATCTCCGAGTAACCATTTGGTTCTCTGTTAGCAGGACATGGTGGACAGGGATGTATAACGGAGGCAGTGACACATGTTCTCACCAAAATTACTCTGCCAGCCATGGGGTGAGCGTTTCATAGGCATTTTCCTCGTTGGGGTCATGGGCCTAATTCGCAGCCCTGATTTGGGGCAGCGCGCGCTTGGCGCCAGGGCAGCTGCGGGGCTCTGGCTGCTGGTGTGTGCGCCTGCGCCTGCATGTGCACACGCGCTTCGTGTGTGTGGGCGTGCAGCTGCACACACGTGTCTAAGGCATCTATCTCTGTGCACTTGTTTGTCAACAAATTAAGATACTGTGTTACCTTATGCACATTGAATTGATGCAACTAAATTGGCTGGATGTTCTTAAGCCCCGAGGGTGTAATGAGATTTTGTCTCTTTTGCCCATTTCTTTTTCTTTTCTTTTTTCAGAATAAGTCGTCTGTTTAATGGCACAGAGCCTATTGTCTTGGACAGTTTAAAACAACATTATTTCATTGATCGAGATGGTGAAATTTTCAGATATATATTAAGCTTCCTAAGGACATCTAAGCTACTGCTCCCAGATGACTTTAAGGTAAGGAAAGCTATAGTCTGCAATCTGTTTTTTCCTCCCATTCTGTCATTTGTTTTGGTGCAGGTTGGTTTGTGTGTTTGACCTAAACACACTTAACTAAATGTTGCTGTTTATTGTTAGGATTTTTAGTACTTGTGTATTACACCAGGGATGCTGTTATTTAATAAATGGACCAATGGTTGTCATGGATACCTTAAAAAGTTAAACGATTAAGCTTATGGCTAAATCAGTTTTTCTAAACTAATTGTATTTTCTCACATTTTTAGCTTATTTATCAGGGTATAACAACAATTAAGAAGCAACATCAGCAGCTAGCACTTACCAGGGTTTAATGCTCAGAATCTGAAAGAAAGGTTTTAAATTTGACAGAGGACTTAAATTGTATGAATCTTTTTCTTGTTGATATAAAAAAGAAACACCCTTAAACAAGCCCATGAGGATTTGTGTTAGATATAACTGATGCAGATACTTTGATTTCAGGAAGTAATCTTTTACACAATTTATGAATGTGAAAACATTCTTGGGAGGTGGAATTTACTGAGGGCTTTTCAAGGAGCAATACATGTTTTCTATGAAATAATGGCAGTGGTTGTTGCTTCGCAAATCCTGATTGTTAAAATGCTCTCCTCCTAGCCTTGTTTATTTGGCTTTGCACTTACGAAACTTGCAACATTGTCATCCTTATGTATGAAAATTAGAAGACAAAAGTGTCCCAACTGTAGATGACAAGATTCAACAAAAGCACTAACTCCAGGATGAAATGATGAATAAATTGGGATGGCAACGAGGATCTGCTCAGTTAGAGGACATGGGGCGTTACGGGAGAGGAAAGTCCCCGTGCCATGCAGTGAGATTTCACTTTGCATGTTGGACTAGGTAGGCAAGATAATTTGGCCAGTCATGACTGAGTCAGTCCAGATTTGTGGCTGCTGCGGTGGCTTTAGCTTTGGAGTACAGCTGATCCTCATGCCGCAAACCGCTCCTCAGCCATTCTTGCCTAAGTTACAACTATAATCGTATTTGACGCCGGCATGGGAGTGTTTACAGTTAATGTTGAGCAGACGTGCTGTGCGGTGGGAGCACACATCTAGTCCTAAGGCAGGGAGAAGTTTTGGCATTCGTGGGCAGTTTTGAAGCTTCAGCTTGGAGGGCTGTCCTGCGTGCTGGTCTTTTTGGGCAGCGGTGGGCAGGTCAGGGAGGCTGGCCTGTGGGTTGGGGCGCTGTGAAGCCAGAGGGGTGGATGCAGGAAAAGCTGTTTACAGAGAAATGAGAGAAAACATGCAGGTAGAAGTGAAGCTAAAGACCGGACAAGTCCTGTGGATTGTAAGATGGATCAAGTAAGCGGGGGTGGATGGAGAAGCAGTACAGGAGAAATGCCAGTGAGATGCTTTAGCAGCAGTGGTTTGGACAATCCAGTCGGACAAGAAGGTGTGAGAAGAGAGAGTAGAAGAGGTGAGGTTCGAGCTGATCATGGCCTCGACTGGCATCCAGATTTCAGAGGTGCTATGAAACAAAACCAGCAGGATTCAGTAAGAGCCTGGAGGTGAGAGTGCTGGTGGATGCCAAGGACTTGTCTGCACAGTGAGCCGCTGGCAGGGCTGGGAGAGACCTGGGAGAGCCGGCGCTGTGCCCGCGCTCAGTCCGTTGTTCCAGACCATCTCTTTGCATAGGGTTAACTGTATTTTATTTAGTTCCTCCCTGGGAGAGCTTTAGAGCAAACCCCAGGCTAATGAGGGCTCAAGAACAAAGCAAAGTATTGCTAGGTAGGGAGTAACTAAATAAAAATGCATAGAAGAATGCGCTGCAAAGCTATATTAAAACTGCATTGTAAACGGATTTGACTTCACAGAAATCGTGTAATTTTACCAGCATGATTAAAGTGACAGAAGACAATAATCAAAGGTAGCAAATGAAATCACTCGGTGTTTCTAAATGCAAAACTCTATTTAAGGTATAAAACCTGACAGGTTTTCTAGTGAGACTTGCATTAAATGTTCTTTATGTCAAACAAAGCATTATCAAGTGTTTTGAATATTTATTAGTTTTTACCCCTTAATTTAATCAAGCAGTTTATTAGCCTCAAGGTCTAGCCAAGTTGCTTTTCAACTTGAATCGCTGCTCAGATGGTTATTTTGGAAAGTTTGGAATGTTAGTACCGCACCAGCGTTATTGCGTTTGCTATTTAAGTGTTGTTTTCAGACTAAGTTAACACTGAAATTCAGAGAAAGTGGGGTATGTGTTCCTAGGCTAGTGATTCTTTATTATCAAGTCTGACTGGTGTGTTTACAGTGAATATTAATTACACTTCCAACTACTAATAAGCCAGAACTTGAAAGTGTTTACTAACTGACAGGTCTCCCTGCTGAAAGCAACACTCTAATAGTTCATATAATTCTCCTGGGTTGGGGGATTTTAAGCCACATGAAGTATGCTGAGAAATTACTGAGTTGCTTGGCTCAGTTCTTTGCAGCCAGCCCATGCTGAGCAAGGTGATGGCGAGCAGCCCGGAGCTGCTTACAGCTCCCTCTTCCTGCACCGGTTCAGTCCCGTGTGTGGGACCGTGACACCTTGAGCAACGAATGTCCTCGAGCAGAGTGTGGAGCCAGCACCCCTCGGTCTGCCACGCTGCTGGGTTAGGGGGTGGCTGGCCCAGGAGCTGCCCCTCCTCTGCAGCCCAAATACTCTCCGCCTTGATCTCCCCCCCGCCATCAGAGGTGTTTCCCCAGGACATCTATGAGCAGTATCTGTCCCCTTTGCTGCTAATACATAACTCTATGCAAAACCAGGACCCGTCGTACCTACTTATTTGAGACTCACTCTTGCTTAGAGATTGGCAAGCAAAAATAGACACAGGCAGTGTGTGTATTACTACTCCATCTTAAGGAGGAGAGGAGCACAAATGCACAGGACATCTGAGTTTTATATGGATTATAGAGGTCAGCTGTAGAACCAGAACCACAAGGGTGACGTGCTAATTTATTAACACAGTTTTAAAATTAGTGTGCTTACATCTAATTTTAAGTGCTCTCAAACTGACCTTAGCAAATGGTGCAGCTGTCATCACAGAAGTGAGCAACTTTCTCTTGTAGCCAGGAGTCAGATCTTTACAGCACTAAAATATAAAAGAAACGTTGAGTTAGAATGACAGTTTGTTGTCATGTAACAAAGAATAACAAGTGAAAAATGGGCAGGAAGAGCCTTTTCAGCCTGTTCAGGAGTCAACATTAGGTACAAAAATAAAGGACCTCTTTAGTACTGAGAGAACAGCATCAGGTTCATGGGAGACCTGATTTTACAGTTTCTGTTGGCTGTCTCTGCCTGTAGTTAGCAGATCTTTACTGACCCACTGGCACTGATGTCAGAACAGCAGCACAACTGGCCTTGCAGTCACTCTTCCCATCTCCTCCCCAGGAAGGTGTCAGCCTTGTCAGAGGTGACTGCAGAATTTAGCCAGCATGAAATCCACCAGAAAAAAAAAGCTTTTCTACCGAATCATGAGCAGAAAATTATTTTGTGAAAGGCAAAAATCTGCGTCTTTGAAAGATCTGTTTACCTTCCTCATGAGATCTAAATGTTGTCCAGAAGTTGTGGATGGAGAAAGGCTGTTGTGCATCGCACCTGGCTATCTGCTCCCTTTTCCATGTGACCTTACAGAACCCATTAGTGCCTACAAAAGCCACAACAAGTTGAAGGCTCATGCTATCTCATGAAGGCTTTTTGTGGTACTTTACAGCAAAATTAGAGGCTGGTCTGTCCATCTCTCCTTTCAGTCTAGCAAGGAGCACCCAGCTTGTGAGCAGGGACCTTGGCTGGTGAGAATCACCTCTGGAATAAAGCGATTTTCCTTGGCTAAGCACAAGCGGCTCCTTTAGCTACAATACACAGTGCTTGGCTCTGGGCTGTGCTGCCACGAGGTACACTGCTATTAAGAAGTTGGGGAGGTAGGGAAATAATCCCTAGAAGAAATAGGAGATACATCATCAGTCCTGCAGGACAAGGAACTCCTGGATACTGTACAAAATCTGCGGGTTGCTGCCTGCTGCTCAGCAACACTGCACTGACACCAGGGCCAGAGCCTCTGTGAGAGCAAGGGTGCAATATCTGTATGCATTTATCAGCATACGCCTGGGACAGAAGCTGTACCAGGCTGCTCTGAGGCTGAGTTTCAATGAAACTGTGTGCACTCTGCCACTGTGCTAGGCAGTTAACACCCTGTCGCTACTCCTGCGCCTGTTTCAGAAAAATGTACCTCTTCTGGATAGGTCTAGGAAGATTCGTGTTTGCGTCTGCCTTTGGTAACTTATCAAAACTAGCAGCATGAAAATGTTTTCTTGCAGCTCCTGTGGCACCTCCCTGGTGAGGTCCCTTGTGAGTTGAATTCTTCTGCCTCATATTTCATGTTAAACTTTTGCGAATCATCAGGCTAGGACTTTATATCTACAGTGCAAGAGTATAAATACCTCTGTCAATATTACCTGGGCATCCTGAGCATCCAGTGTAGACAATCCAGAGCTGGGCATCACTTCCAGTCCAGTTGTAGATGCACAGTACTCCAAATGGTGTATAAAACCTGAACAAGAAGATTGTGTACTTAGCCGTGTGTTGAGTCCATCACCCTGCCCAAGCACAGGCTTTGGAGAACTGGACTCCCACGCTGTGAGCCATTCATTTTTTGTTCCTGGTTTTGCAAAATCCTCTTCCCTCCCTAAATACATTGTCAAATTCCTTAGTGGTGCCCAAGTCACGCAGTGCAGAAACACCAGATGTCCCGTTACAGGAGCCAGAGGGGGTCAGGGCGGTGGGCTGGGCTGTGCTGGTGGTGGCTGGTCAGGGCAGCATGCAGCACATGGCGTGGGGGGATCACAGAAGGAAGGTGCCCCTTCCCAGTGCTGTCACTAGTAGATAGCAATGGATTTTCTCTTGCCGCGCAGAAGACACTTTATCCCTTCTACCTGCTACAGTGCAACAAATTCCCTTTATTGCCACTGCCTGATAATAGGTGCCCAGACTCCCTAACGCTGCACGTGCATGTTGCCTCTTCACACCAGCATGCCTCAGATTCCCAGCTTCTGTTACAAACCCCTTCTTCCAAGTGCAGAACCCTTTCCAGCATATTTGTGCTCAACCCAAGTGTGGAATGGACGCAGAGATGAGAGACCTATTTTAGAAAGTAACCCAAACACCTTGGCTTAACCCAGGCAGCTGTGACCAGGTGCACACCTCATCCCATGGAGCACGTGGTGCTCCAGCACAGCCCCGATTTCTGCACAGCCATCTGAAAGGTGGCTGCATTGTTCTGGGAACAGTAGTGAACGAGCTGTTCCACTTGAAAACTGGTTGTCTTAGCACAAATTGATATCAGAATACAAAATTCATCTTGTTTTTTTAGGACAAATGATGGCTAGCAGAAGTCGCTAAAGAGCTGCATTTGTTGCGGTGGGCTAACAGCTGGCTGAGGGGGAGGCAGAGGTGGTGCGATCCTGGTTTTGTTTGCTTTATGACATTACTGTTTTGGCCTGGGGGTGCTGGACCACTGAACTCCTGTGATTCAGGATACTGTCAGCATCATCCAAAGCCCAGTGAAGTCAGTCGAAAAGACTCTCATGAATGTAATGGGCTTTGCATCCAGCCTCAGGAGCACTGTACCTCTCTCTACTTCCAGAAATGAAGGACTGGGTTTTATATCTCTGTACCACCTCTTCTAGGCTTTACTGTTGAGTTTTCTTAGCACGTATTCACTTGATTGACCTTGCAAATAATATGTTATTTTATAGCGGCCATGAAAAAAGATACTCTGAAACTAGTTTTTCAGGACGTACTGAAAACAGCAGGAGACTTCCCACACTGCCTTCAGTAAGCATGGGACGCTCCTGTTCACTCTACAGCATTAAATTTTTCCGTAGCACTGCACATTTTCCTTTGCTCAAGAAAGATACATGGGACCAGCAGATGCCCAGTGCACGTTTGATAGGCCCCTGCACTCACCTCTGTAATGAATGCAGTTAGGTGGTGGACACTGTTGCTCCAGTGTCCCACACAAAGATTTCAGAAAGTTTGGGGCAGGGATTGTTTTTTTAATTTAGGCCACTAATCCCTGTAGGTTTAAACTGGTGGCATGTTTAGTAACCAGGGAGCTTCACCAGTGGACATTAATGGTTCAGCAGAGAATGCTGATTTTATGGAGGGGGGAAAACACCTTCCATTGGGGGCGACGCTTTGGGGCTGATGCTGTCTTACCCAAGACCAGGTAATGCAGCCAGTCTCCACGCCTCTTCGCCTGGCCCGGTCCCAACACCGGTTGTTTGCAGCATGCTTTCTATATGATTTCTTCTTTAATCTTCCTGTTGTTTTTCATCTTCCAGATACTTTCCGTGTCTGTTGTCCTCATTTCTTCCCACTTGCTTTTATCCCTCTTTCCTCTGCGCCTTCTCTGGTCCTTTTTTCTCCCTTAGTGGTATGCATATTGTCCAGCCTTAAGACATCAAAGATGTAAGGGTTCGGATGTCCCTTCTGTAACATGATAACCTTGCCAATGTCACTATGAATATTCATATGTCTCCAGGCTGTAGGCAGCCCTGGGGTGAAGGAGCACCTTTCCACTACGGGTAGTGGGTCTGTGGTGCCAAATCTGAGCACAGCTAACTGCTTTGGTTCAGTAATATCCTGCAGCAGCAGATTTTACAGGTTAATTCCAAGCAGCTGTGAAGAGTTGCACCTTTTTGTGCTGCACATTCATTGGCTTTTGATTCCCCCTGTTCCTGAGTCCTGGAGCAGCAGCACTGCCATTATTTTTCATGTAATTTTGGTGCCCGTTTCTTGATTACTTCTTGTCGTGTCCTTCTTTCTGGGCCAAATTATTTGAGTCATTTCACTCTTGTGATGTTTAATTTCATTTCGTTGCAGTGGTGGAGAACTGACCTTTATGTCCAGGTGTTGACCTACAGCATATTCCACAAAAGTCATGTAGCATACCTGTGGTGCAGCATTTCCATCTGTAAACGTCCATAAAAGCCAGAAAAGCAAATGACAGGTCTTTGCGGAGAGGAGCTGGTGCTGTGTTCTTATTGCTCTTCTTCCCTTTGGGAGGCTGAAGGAGGTGGTGGGACCAGTGTAAGCAAACTACCCACCGGGTGCTTCCCCCTCTCTTGGTCTGGTAGGCACTGCTGCCTCCTCGGGTCTGGGGGCTGCTGATACACGTTGCCTCAACATACTCTCATGTGTTTAAGCAGAGGTGGAAAGATATATCAGAAATCTGATGAAAAGTTATTAATGAGGATATGCAGAAGACATCTCAATCAGTGAACTGGGAATTGGGTCAAATTGGGAATTTGAATTGCCCAAAGCCCGAGTGAGGTGATGGACAAATGGCTGGGAGGAACTGTTTCTTTTAAGTTGTAGGAGTGCACAGCTGAGCTCCCAGCCAGCGGGATGGTTGGGTCACTACCTCCATATAATTTACCAGGCTCCAAAGCGCGCTTTAAATACATGAATAATCATGAAACGCAGGGAGCAGCTGAGCTGCTGTAGTTGAATTTCAGACTCAGCAAAGACAGGTGAGAAGTGAAGCTGAACTGACATCTCCATCTCGTAACATGTGCGAGAGGCGACAGTGAAGCCTGAGATCTTCTGTTGTAACATCAGGAGTGAATATCTGAGGCCAAGAGTGAAGATCAGGGCTCAGGACATCTTCTCTTACATCAGCAGGCTTTGCTTCTTGCAACCAGTTATTTTGATTTCTTAATGCAAAAGTAAAGCCTTCTGGCATTGAGCTTGTGGGATAATAAATGAAAGAATAATTCAGTGCAATGGGAACTTCACGGTCAGCTCAAATAGATTCAACGCTAACATGGTGTGGTTTTCTGTGTAGGTGTAAGACAAAGACAAAGTATGTGGATACCTGTTGCCTTATACTCTTGCTGACAGTACATAAGCCTAAGTAGGTCAAATAGGAACAATGCTCATTTTTAAGGGAGAACTATAAGCATTTCTAGTTTCTCTCTCTCCCTCTCTCTCTTTTTTTTTTTTTTTTTTTCCCAGGACTTTAATCTTTTATATGAAGAAGCAAAGTATTACCAGCTGCAGCCAATGATTAAGGAACTTGAGCGATGGAAACAAGAGAAAGAACAAAGGAAACATTTCCAGCCTTGTGACTGCTTGGTCGTAAGAGTGACTCCAGATTTGGGGGAAAGAATTGCATTGAGCGGGGAGAAAGCTTTAATAGAAGAGATCTTCCCAGAGACTGGGGACGTCATGTGCAACTCCGTAAATGCAGGCTGGAACCAGGACCCTACCCACGTTATTAGGTTTCCTTTGAACGGATACTGCCGGTTGAATTCAGTGCAGGTAATGGCCTTTCGGTGCTGGCTCATCTATTTGCTGGGGTGTTTTTTTTATTTCTTGTTCAATTATATGCAAATTATTTGCTTCTGCCCAATTACCTTCAGTGCTTATACTGCAAGGAGACATTTTCTGCCTGGTGAGATCACAGTCTTTCAGGTTTTCCTAAGTCCAAGCAGAAAAATAGATTTAGATTTTGTGTATGTTAGTGCCATGCTGGTCTCATAATGGTGTTATACTGATAAATGCTAATTTTTTCATCAATGTATAGCCTGCAGCAGTTTTTTTTTCCTCCATAGTGCCCCCAGGAAGAAAGAGAGAGTTCCAAAAACTACAAAAAAAAATCTCCACACCATTTTATAGAAAATGCAACAATGTGTAAATGCATAATTTATGTCTCACTCATAATTAAATGATGGTGCCTGCGGGATGGACTTAAAAAAATTGATCTCTGCACTTTTTTTTTTTTTTTTTTTTTCAAAAGGATGTTCTATAAAAATTGCCCAGAGTATTTTAAACAAAATGTATTTCATTTTATACTCAGAGTTTTGACATTAGGTTTAAAATTAAACATATGAAACAAAAGAAGATAACTGGACAGATAGGTGGATGGTAGCGGAAATAAATATGTGGCTTGTGTTTAGGCAGCAGCCTTATGGGCAAGAAATGCCATTTCACAAGGGATCACCGCCACTGTGGCCAGAGCTTTGGTGTTGTAGCTGTCCTTGGGCTGCGGAGAAGGAACAATGTTGATGATGCTGTTAACTTGTGCCTTAATTAACAAGGGCAAAACAGAGCTCTTGGTTTTTGCATGTCTGCCTTTAAAATATGCTGCATATACTGGTATTATGGAAAGTGAAATGAACCTACAGGGGAATATTTCCAAAGTTGCTGTCCCCTGCAGACAGGCTGTGGCCGCAGATGTTAACTGAGCTGTGAGAAATGCCTTAGTGGTCTTGGTCAACTCCCCTGTGGGCAAATACCCACAGAAGAGCTGGCCCAAGGGACAAGCTGGCCCAAGGGACAGGCTGGCCAGACAGGTTGGGGAGGGAGGCGTAATAACAAGAGAGGGCAAGAACCTAGAGCCCTTGCTTACCCGTGCTGTTATTACACAGCAAGCTGAGGCACCCTCCATCTCCTGGGCTGCCAGTTGACAACATTTTTGGGAGACCTGCAGTTACCAGAATATGTAAAGGTGGATGGAGCAGTTTTAACAACCTGCATTTGACACTGACACCTCCCTCCTCAGGGCAGCATTCCCTGGCGCACCCTGCACTGATAGACACTTTCATCTGAAACCGTTCTAAACCCAGCTATTTTTGGTGATTTTTTGTTCAAGACTCCCAAGTGTTTTATTTGGTTGAACTTCAACAGTCCAATGCCTGTGGTTAATTTTGCACAGTCCTTAGCAATTTCACGTTTGGCAAGGTTTAGAGTGGGCTGCCCCAAAACCAGAAGGCTGGAGGTGGGTCGGAGGCAGATCTGTTTGCTGGCAGTGGGAACAGTGATGAATTCATCACTCTGCTGGGTGGAGAAGGGAGCAGCTGCAGTTTAGCTAAGGTAAGTGGGTAGGGAAGCGTGTTCGTGTCTCAGCCACGCTGCCCATGTGATGCAGTCAGACGCATGCAAGAAATCAGAATAACTAAAAAAATAAAGGGTCCCTGCAAGCCACTGAGGGGCTCAGCACTGCAAGCAGCCAGTCAAAGCGCTGGATGTCCACATGGCTTAACACTTGGCTCTGTTTTATCCAAAGTGGTGCACTAGTAGGAAACGTGTGCTTGTAGTAAAAGCTAAATGCTAATTATTGTTATTATTTGAATGTGTTTTGAATTCAGTCAAAATTCAGACAGAATCAAAGAGTCTCTTTGCAAGTTCATGTTGTGAAAAAAAATTTATGTCAAAGAGTCTACAGTATAAATAACATCATTTTACTAAATTACATCATTTTACTATATAATTAATAGAAAGTGTTTTCAAACACTTTCTGGAAAATGACGCGTTTCTGAGACCAAAGGCTGATGAAATCAGCAGCTAATTATCATTGGCTCTGATGGACTCTGGTCAGCACATAGGCGCTGCCCTTCCCCTTCCCAGGATTTTTTGGCAAAACAATATTAAGTCAGAAGTTGGAAGTACAGTGAAGCAAGTGCATAGACTTAACAGAGATGGGTTAGGAGGGGTGGTGGTCAGAAGAGCAGAATCATTTCCAAAGACTCTTGGAGAGTGGTGCAGTAAGTCTGCCAGCAGATTGCTGAGATACATCACTTTGGTTTCCCTATGACCTGCTGAATATATTTGTTAGCATAACTGCAATATTTATAAATTCTTTGGAAGATATTTTCATTAAGTGTTTTGTGTCTAGAACTGTGCATATAAAACAGAGAATGTCCACACTGAGTAGGTAGGTAGTGGTAGCCAAAAAAATACAGTAGCTCTTAATTTAACACCTGTTTGTAATTACATACAGATATAGAGTTTTCTTATGACTGATACTGGTTTTTCAACTCCTTGCAACAGGTTCTGGTGAGATACATGAACTTACGTTAGAGAAAATTCTGTGATGCTTCTATAATGTTGAACATTGAGTCTTCATAATAAAGAATGTATTTGTTAGTATTCTGCAAAATTTAAATGAAATGCAATAAGTAAAAGTATCGTGTTTCTATTTGGAAAACATTCCCAAAAAATCAGATGTGCTTGGAATACTGGAAGACAGAGTATATTAAATGCTAGCACAGAGCCTCTATTTAATACTCTGTGTGTGCGTCCCTATACGTAGGAGAATCGCAGCTGATACTTTTTGGCATATTCTCTTTGGAGATTTACAGAATAGTAGCTCTGATTTGATTCAGAGATGCTTGCTGGTTTCCCTGTGTCTGTATCTTACCTTCAGAAAAAGTAATGTGCATAGAGCCAAATTCACTAAATGGCATTTAAATCTGTTCATGTTCAACACGCCGTTTAGTCTGGTGCACACACTGGTGCACACAAAGCAGCGCTCAGCGCACATGGAAGCAGCCTTTAGGAGCCTTTCTCCATAGACCTGAGCTCAACCTTATCCAAGTTACACTTAAGACTCTATAATATTTAGACATTCTCTGCATTGTTTACAGGATTTGGCCTGTTTTGTTTCTTGCTGAGAAAATTGATGATACCGAGGATTTTAGCACTAGATTATAGCCCGCAGTCTAGTCCTTTGAGCGCGTAGGTAGCAAAAATGAATCGCTTTGTTCTGCGTGCGGTGCTCTAAGGTGTAATGTCTACCTGGATTGTGTGTTTGCAGAGAGCTGGCTCGGTAGAGTCCTATGTTAACATGCAGCCTTCCATAGCTTTGGACCGGGGCAAGCCAAGGGCACCCCCATGCTTGTTTAGTCTTACAAGCAAATTGATTTTTAAAAGTTTTTAGCAAGGATTTTGAAGTCATGTCTCTTTCTGAAATCTTACCTGTCAATCCTCTGTTAAATGGAAGAAGCCTCCTTTCCTGTGGCTGGGTGGCCTCTCTTCTTCATCTTTCCAGGTCTAGGAACAGGGATACAGAATACAGTCAAAATACACTCCAGCCTGTGAAAGAGCAGTCTGATGAGGTCTTATTCTTCCTTCCCTCTGAAACTCCTGCCTTCCTCTTCGAGCAGGAACAAGGGCCGGTGTCTGTACCCCATTTCTATCCTACAGGCTGCATACAGCCTGGACAAATACGAGAGTTGTAAGCTTTCCCTCTCTCTTTGTTTTCAATATATTTTGATAACCCACTCTCCCACCCCTTCTTTTAATCTCTCCAGGTTCATTTTTCTTCCATACACTGGAGTACTTTTTTGATCTTTCAGTTCTACAACTTTCTTACAGTATAAAGTATATAAAAATCAGGGCAAAAGTCAGTGAGATTTGGCAGATGCGACTTTCTGAGAATGTAAGTTGCTGTGTCCCCAGGCCAGGCAGAGCTCCTCAGGCAAGTTGATTTCCAGCAGATTCGGCACGGCTTAAGCAGAGTTGTGCTGGAGCAGCTCTTTTCCTTCGCTGGTCCTTAGCAGCCAGGGTAGCAAGTACAAGGTTTTAGTTACCACTAAAAAAAACACACCAGGGATTAAAATGGAGATGGATAATGCAGGCGACCTCAGAGGAGGGTTCCCACAGATTAAAACCAGCAAATGCTGCTGCCATGATTTGCAGCGCACTGTGGTACCACCTTGGATACAGTTATGCTTTTATCCTTAGTAAAGGCTCCAAACTGATGTTTCTGGAGAAAGCAAACCCATCATTCAGGCAAAAGAAATGGTGCCCTGAGAAATGCACCGTGGCCTCACGTGAGTCTGTGTGAGGGTGAGGGCAGCAGTCAGGTGTGCAGGTCTTTAACTTAGTCAGCTTGGGCCTTGAAACATAAGACTTTTAAGTACTACCGCAGTAGGTGTAACTGCTGAAGTGCTCCCAGGGCTAGTAAAACTAAAAAAGAAATAAAATTCTTTGTTTAACATAAAGTGGTGAAACATACAAGTTGATTCCATCTGAAGGTGGTGGGTTTACTGCTTAGACGTTCCTCTAGGTTGAGCGAACAAGTTCTTAAACAGCTTAGGCCCTGTCATTGTGGGTCCAGACAGCTGTCACATGGGGATGCTGGTGTTACCAAATTCCTCAGGTTAAGTAAATGATCAGGTTCCCTTCCCAGCGCAGTGTGCCACGTGCTGTAGCAATGGAAGCGGGACCTTGGGGGAGGCTGTTACAGAGCAGTACGGGCTGCTCCCCTTGGTGGCGTTTATCAGTAGAGGGAAAAACAGGAATCATTTTTCCAGGCCGCTGCCCTGGACTCAGGGGAGCTGCCAGTGGCAGGGAGGGTGCATGGCATCCCCTGCGGTGGATCTTGCATTGCAGGTCTGCCAAAGGTGGAGCTGGCATCTGCTCTCACCTAACGCGGAGAAAAGTCTGTGTGCATCCTGCTCTGCTGGGAAACCGTATATCAACATGCTCACGCATGTGAAAACACGGCCCCGATCACATTGCCAAGATCAGTATATCCTAGGGTAATGTGCTGTGTGACAGTCTCAGAAATTAAAGTTGCCTCTGGGTTCCTTAAATTCATGCATCTAAATTTCTTTAGAAGGAGAAAGAGAAAATACATACTTGGGCAATACAAATTAACCTCTTTCTTGGGCCAGAACATTTCCCCATTGTCCACGTCTTGGCTCAGCATCCCGTCCCTGCCGTGCTTTGCTAAAAGCAGCAGTCCCTTCCAGCGAGGGAAAATCACAGCTGCGATTTCCATGAAGATGTGGTGGAAGCGTCACTCAGGCTCCTAATACATTTTAATCTGCCAAGGAAGAGCTGAGAAATATTTTCAGTTCCTTTCTGTAATACTGTTCATATTACTAATGAATAATGGGCACTTTTTATTACAACTTAAACCCAATGTTGTTTTCTATAAGCAGTAAGAGATAGCATCAATATCACCACAGTCCAGTATTTTACTATATAATGTACTAAGCTGCTCTGCAGCGTGCTTATTTGTTTGATTAATTTTTGTTTTCTACAGACGTTTGCTGAGAGCGAGACTTTAATCACAGTGTAGTCATTTAAGAATAAGTTATAGAATTATAGCTGAATAATATTCATTCAACAAGGACTTGAAAGACTAAATCTATCATTTAGACCCAGGGCTCCTGAATGCTTTTATCACTAAAATTTGCTAAATATTAATCTGATTTTTTTTTTCTCACATCGCAGGTGCTCGAAAGATTATTTCAGAAGGGATTTAACGTGGCAGCTTCATGCGGTGGTGGGGTGGATTCCTCTCAGTTCAGTGAATACGTGCTGTGTCGCGAAGACAGACGACCACAACCTACCCCCACAATCAGAATAAAACAGGAACCCCTGGACTAGGCCCTACCCGTACTCCTTTGTAACCGTAGAAGTGTTTAATAGTCCCTGATGTGAAACTCTTAAGGATTTGCAAAACAGTATTAGCAAACAGATTTTGACTTTATGTTGCCAATTAGTGGTATTCTGAAACTACCTGTCACATAGCCAGCCATGAAATGCATTTGAAAAACCAGTTGTCCGTTTTTCACAATGAAATTCCCGAGCATGCTCAGCATACCAGGCCTGCTGGGAACGTACTTTGGGCTGAACAGCTGTGGTGGTGAAAAAGGCAAAGCTTCATAAACCCCCGACCCTCCATTGAACTTCTACAGAAAGACCAATTAAAGCAATTTGAATAGATCAGCAGGAGAAATGGTTCTGTCAGCCTTTCCAACAACCCCCCGATGCTGTGACGCGTGGAAGTGGGCGCCTCCGAGAGGAAGATGGTACACTAAAAACTGCACTGAGTATCTTCCCTGACTGCCGCACCTCCTTCATATCAGACGTGCTTTACACCTCTGTACATTACGTTACACTTCTGTGATTGTACTCACTCATGCTAGCAAATGGCTTATTTTTATACAACATTTCCAACTGAAATACCTTTCTGTGGACAGAATCCAGAATAAGAAAAGGACCAATTTATAGTCAACTGGTGCTCGGTACTAAAAAACCCCACACAAACAAAAAAGCAACAAAAAATTGGACAAGGCCGATTATGGCAATATTTGCAAAAGTAGGGATCTGGAAGCACAAGCTAAAATGCCAGCCACCATCACACAAGGGTCACGTACCTAATGTGGAGCTGTAGTTCTCTTAAAGCCAGTCTTGTTTTGACTCAGAAACTGTTAAGTTTTGCATCATCAAAGCAGCGTGGTTCTGCCAAGCAAGCTCTGCCACCCCTTGTTACTCATTTACTAACCATGTTATAAGCCCACATTTAGGAGGAAACATTAAGAATTTTGGACAAACCTACTCTTCATGGGTCTGGAATTTTTGCAAAAAGTTGTTGTAACCCTCTACTGCCATTGTCTGATGAAGGCAGGCCACCTTTTATTTAGGCTGTTTTTCCTCTATTATTTTAAACTATTATTAAAATACCAACTCTGTAGCTGCCCTCTATCTGTGTAATTTTCTCTTTAACGAAGCCCACTGTCTGCAGGAGGTTACTGCTCCTTCCATGAATCGGTATCGACTCTGACTTGCAGGGCTTCCTAACTCAGGAGACCGCACCATGTTTGCAGGTGCAAGGTTATAAATAGCATTCTGCTAAATCCTGTTTATTGCCGTTTAGCATGATTGGGTCCTCAATAACTAATTCATGTGTTAATTGCAATTTAGTTTCTCCCACATTAATTTATAGAATACTGTTGTAGATGCTGAATTTTAATTGAACTCTTTTTAGATGCATAAATATGGCCATATAGAACAAGGGACAGACTATTAAGTGGTCAACCATTCTTCAGTGCCAAATGATTACAATCGGGCAAAATAAAAAAATCATGTTTAAGACTAATATTTTCAAAAGCGATGAGCTGTACTGACTATCCAAGGTACAATCCAGGCAGGGGTCTAATTTTTGGAAAAGGGCTGGATACCTGTCCGTGGAAAGCCAGACCTCTGCAGGTTTTCTCACCTTGGTTACCCAATTCAGAAATCTCTTCTGGAAATCTTAGCTGATATGGGTTGGCCTGCTAACTTAGCAGAACAGTTGAGCAAATCTGTCTACTTTAAAAGAGTTGTAAAGTTATTTTATTTTGTGGTTTTATACTTGTACGACATTCAAAAGTCGCTAGGCATTGCCATATTTGAATATATGGCACAACATTCACCTTTGTATGTAAGATATCTGTAGAATTGTATATTATACATTTAATATTGTAAAGAACTTAACGTATAATTGTCATGTATTTGTGTATGCACATTTCTTATACAGTACTTCATGCCATAAACATTTCTGTAAAGTAAATGATCAAAAATAAGCAAGTAGGGTGGAACACTCACTGTATCTCCCATGTTGCTTAAAAGAGGTGAGAATTTTTGATTGCGTCTCCTCCGGCCTTTTGCTCCATTCAGCTTGATGTAGCCATGTCTTACAAAAAGAAAAAAAAAAAAAGTGTTTTATTTATTACTTTCATACATTGAGTTCACTTTAAGTTCAAAGCATGCTTAAATAATCCATTTAGCTTCTTTTTGTCCGGTATACACTCTTGTTCTGCTCCCCTGAACAGGGAGCGTCAGCACTGGCAGGGGCCGAGCGCCCGTCAGTCAGCGCGTCCTCTCCGTTCGTTACCTCTCGGCCGGGGGAGAAGGGCCAACACCTCACGTTTACATTTAAACCCCGGGGCCCGGTTCTGCCTCCCCGGGCTCAGCAGGGGCCCCCGGCAAGTGAGACCAGGTGCCCGGGACCCGCCGAGTGCTGAGCACATCCAGCTCCTGCCGAAGGGGCGGGCAGGCAGCTCTCCCGAGCCTGGAAGCGGGATGATGCTTTCGGTTCTGTGTAGAACGTTGGAAGCATTTGTGGTTGGTTGGTTTGGTTTTCTTCAGTTTGTGTTTACCGTATTTTTTTTATAGCTCAATAAAGCAGCTCCAGTACTTAGGGCAGCTCACTAAGGTGGCATCGTAAAGGGTTCCAGGCTGCGCCAGCCGAGTTAAATGTGAACTTGAGATGGAAAGTTTGAGCCATGACATCACAACATTGACTGCAAAATAGCACTAAGGCAAGGAAGACATGTGGAAACAATCAGTTTGTTAGAAGAAATATGCCTTTAAAAAAAAAAAATAAAAGTTAAGCTATGACATGTTCTTTTAGTTAGTAACTTCAGGTCACTTATTTAAAGTTTATTACAGTTTCATTTATATCTTTTTTACTTATTTCCCTATATTTTTAGGCAGCAATATCAGCAAAGACTGATTTGAATTTTTACTTCTGGCCTTAAACCATAGCAACATAACTTAATTAAGAACATTGCTCAGCATCGCTAAAACAGGTTTTAAAATACCATAGAAACTCCAGGAGAGCTGTGGTGTGCAGCCAGCAAATGTTTTTATTATGAAGGCCAACAGGTAAATGTAGCCCAATTTGATGGAACAGGATTGTTCTGACTCTCTGTTGCTGAGCACTGAAACTGTGGCTTGAAGAACAGGAGTCTTCGCTAGCACTTTCTGTACAGCCCTGGTACACCACTGCGCTCCCACGTCTCGGACAGAAAGCGAGAATGTTATGTTGTGCTTACTGGACTAATCGCTTTTGAGAAAGCAACTGTTGAGTGCATTCATTCACTGTATTAATAGCATCGAGGTCTGTTGACAATTTTATTAGATGTTTGACAAAGGATAAGAATCAGCACAACAAAACATTGAAGTATTTGGTTTTAATATTTCTTTGTGGGTATTCTGTTAATATTTTAATGCAAAATGTTTCTGAACAGTGCTTAAGAACTACAAGACAATGTGAAATTCATGTTTGATAAATTAATACTGTATGTCACTCAATGTGTTACTTTAGTAAATTGTTTTATTTCTTTACAAAATAAGTACAAATAAGGGAGTATGTTTTCACACAAATTGGGGGTATTTACGAGTATGTACAGAAATCATCAAAATAACGTAATTCTAATAAACACAAGGCCTTTATAAACAATATGTACAAATTATCAATACATTTAAAACATAATTTTACACTTCCTGGCCTTAAATACCTTATGAATAATCTTTTGGCTAAATAGCAGCAGTATAAATTTTCTTCTGCTTTTCATAAACCTTAAAAAATAATTAAAACTTTTGTTTTTAAAACTATTGGACAAATAGTTCTATTTGTGCTTTCGCTATGGTTTCCCATCAAAAAAAAATATTGCCTCAAAAAAGTGGCAAGCATAACATAGTAAAAATTTAAAAGATAAATAAGCAAACGTCTCCCTTCCATGGTTACTGATAATACTGTTATGTTGAAGTACAACAACTTGTGCCCACCTGCCCGCTTAGTATTCCTGTCTGATACCCATTTCAAAGACTCGCACTGACTTCGCTTGGCTTTGGTGTGGGCCCCTTAAATTCCAATTCAGCAAAGCATTTAAAAAGCATTCATCCACCTTTAAGTACTTAAAACTACTCATTATGCTTAAAGTCATGCGCTTGTTCATGAGCCTCCCCGGGTCCAGTCGCCCAAGGCAAAGGCATCGCCAGTCCCACGGCGCTGCCCCAACCGCCCGCGGCACCGGGCTGCTGGGGCTCACCCCGCTCTCGCGACCCCCTACGCATGGAACCGGCCCCCAAAACGTCCTTTACAGTGACTTTAAAAATCCATATAGAATACTCTAAAATCTTTACTGAATAATACTCTCCTTTAAAACCACCATTAAACCATACTCTTTGCAATAAATAAATTAAGATATTTTTTAGAAAATAAAACCCAACTTTGATTCGTGTTACTAACCAGCTGCTACAAATGTGCAAAAGGTTGAAGAGATTTTGAAAACAACTGGAAGTTAGTCAAGGTAACTCAGCTGGGACCCGAACTCACAGATTTCATACACTTAGGATTTGGTTTAGCAAATGGCTCAGGAAATGAGCTGTGCAGTAAAAGTAAAAATCCTAAATATATAAAATTTGTGAGAGTGTGCAGTGGCTATTCTCTTAACTGTGCAAAAAACTGCAATTAGAACTACTTTGAAACAACAACAGGTATCACCATGGTTAGTCAGTGGAAACAGTGCTAGTAAAACTATAAAAAGAAAACCAGCACTGTAAGTGAACATACAGGCTAACACCATGGTTAGGTCCCAGCCCTGTGAACCCGTCCCCGTCCTCCTGGCCACGAGATGGTTCAGGTGAGCCACTGCAGCCGTGTCCGCTGGCGTAACTTCAACGCCATCTACTTCAGCCTTATCTAAAATGGCCAAATGGAGCAAGACTTTGATGTTGGTTGTATCTGTGGATTTAACATTTTAAAACCTTTTGCACATTTTTTTGTGTGTTTTTTGTAATTTTTTTTTTTTTTTTTTTTTTACATAAAGGGAATTTATTGCATGTGTCTGACAATTTTACAAAACAAAATTACTGGAACACTGACTTTGAAAAAAATAGAAGGCACATTAAAATGACAACTTTTCAATGCAAGTTGAACTTCTGTATGGAGAAATCAGTACAATTCTTGGCTTTATTTAAGCAGAGCTCGATAGAGCAGGAGAGAATGGCTCGTTTCTCTTTCCTGTTCCATGTAGAAGATGAAGTCCCTGAGGTTTACGCGAGTTATTTTCTGTCGTGCATACTGCCTGGATGAAGGAGTGCCCAAGCCAGCCTGACTTCCACCAGACATACCGAGGCCCTATAAAGAAAACACGATAAAGTCAAAAGTCCTGTAACAGTAAAGGGTTTCCTTGTACTCTCAGGTTTACAACTACTAACTGCTGGGTGATTTTAAACATCTTAAATTGATAACTACAAGCCTAATTCTGAAAGTACTACAGGAGATATTTATTTTTTTTCCTGTTATTCTGAGCCTCACCAAGTTAACCTGAGTAAAGAAACTCAAGTCAAAACACCCTTGAGGCTAGACCTTGTTCATTTACAACTCGGGACAAATACGTCTGACTAATTCTCCTGCTACAGTCATGTTAACCATAGACGTATCTGACTAATTTAATTTCAGAAGCCTTTTAAGGACAAAGCTATTTGCAGCAGATAGAGCTATCTTTAGTGTATGAAATATGTGCACCATCCTGCTCCACATCCTGGGTCTGGGTCTGGAAAAAGCTGTGGTGTATCCGGATGTTGCTATTGCAATAACCTCCGCAGCTGAGAGTCCCACGGGGACCCCAATTCTCTCCTCTGGGTGTACTGGAGAGAAAGGCTCAGGTGGGAAGATACTGAACAATCCTGCTCAAGTACACAACCAACACTCAGCTGAGAGATGGAAAAATTAAATAGAAAAATCAGAGACTCAGATATTGTGTGATAATAAAGACAAACATTAGTATACTATTTTCCAAAGCTATGTTAATTTTTTTTGTTTAAATTGGTTCAAAGGTGCTGAATTACTGAATACCTCATCCTGTCTTTCTGTGCAGAGAGAAAATTCACAAACTGGGCTTGAGAACACTGTGATCAATAGAAATTGAAGGGACGTAATTACAGAATCTTTGCAGTCTTGTTGAGTTTAAAACTGAAACCTGATACATGCACACATACAATTTTTTTTTCATCCTTAGGAGACCACTGTTTTTATTAATTCCAATTTATTTCTGGCAAAACAAACTGTTCTAACTCAGAAAAACAGCTTTTAATCTCTAAAAAGACACATTATTTTTAAAACCTGTAAGACATCTGGCAAAGTTTTCAATACTTTCAAAATCCCAAATTTACTTACTGCTGTTCTTAATAACCTACATTTCTTTCCCCAGGAAATACTTATTCTAGGAGCTTGATTCTAGCCATTAAAAATACAGTTAAGCATAATTTTACTACTGAAAGACTGTAGAGAAAACATATATGCTATATTGTGAGTAAGACATGGCACTGCTTGCTCTGTTGTTTTTCTCTCTGTGTACCAGCAGGCAGACTACTTGCAGAACTACCATTCAAGTTATTTCTTCTATACCTGATTATTAAATTACAGTAGTGGGGCAAATCCTATTCTCTTGTAACCACAAACACAAAAGGCTTAATGTAGCGAAATGAATGTGGCTAAGCTTGCAGGCAAGAGAGGGAGAAGCCCACAACCTCTGAGTACCCGTGAACATTTCATCTGAGGGATTCTGCTCTCCAGTATGGAGTAGTTTTTGTTAATAGATTAATTGATTTACCACCTAACCTCACTGCTCATAGGAAAAGCATGTGCTGCAGCCACAAGGGTTGCTCATCCATGCTGAAGCCAGACACATCCCCAGTGCACAATCCACTTATTTAGCAGCACTCTGAATTCAGCTTTTACACCAAAATGTTTTGCATTCCTAAAGGAAAGAACATCACTTAAACTCATGCTCCTTATCTTCCACAGGTCTGGAAGGACAGCCTACCTTAAGCTGCCTCTCACCTGCACTCT